GACTTTTCAAGTAATAAATGATTTTTAACTTCCCAAATTCATGAGAAATTCATGTTTTTGACCAAAAATCCGATTGGCTAATTTTAGTAGTAATTAAATGTTGAGAAAAAATTTTGACATGGTTTTATAAATGGTTACATACCTACTATATAATGAATTGTATAAGTAATACCTAATAGACACAACAAATATTTTTTTTAAATTTTTTGTACCAATGTCTTTATTTTATTTTTTTATAATTTGTAATTAAAAAGATCCTCATTACATCATTTTAGTAATATAATAATTTTTATCCTGCTTTCATATTTAATTCCAAGTGAAAATCAATGTCCCTGCTGCTTGACATCAGATTGTCCGAGACGATATAATAAACAAACGTAAATCTGTAAACTATATTCATCTTCTATTTTAAATGTTAAATGAACATAAATATTTATAATCTATATTACAAATTAGTGTCTACGTGCTATTTAATACGGAAGTTACGCCTACGAGTCGTTCGTTTTTACTTTCATTTTACAGGGGCATCGCGTCAGAAAAAAAATTAAGAATACCGGAACCATCAACAATTAGCATCTGATTCGATCATTTGCTATTAAAAAAATGAACATAAAAAAATTTAGTACTGATATAAATGATTTCTTGGCGTTTCAATTGAAGTTCATTACCGGTCATCGCGAAAAACATCTATAAATAAGATATAAAATAAACCGTGTTGATTAATGAGAAGTGAAATTATAAAATTAAATTTTAAATTGTTCATGAAAAATATTTTATGTGTAAATTTACCAAAAAATTATCAACAGAATTTTAAAATGTAAATGTAACAAGAAATACTACTGAACCGTTTTTATACATGCACTTTTTTCGGGGAAGTTAATGATAATATATATGTATATATGTATATATGTATATAAATATGTGTGTATGTATTTATTTATGTATGGATTAATAAAATCAACAAATGAAGCAATTAAAGTATCAATATAGACTTCACAATCAACATCTAAATAATTAACAATTTATATATATATATATAAATACATATATAATTCTCGTGTTATAATATCTGCAAAACGGCTTAACCAACTTTATGAAATTTTATATTCACGTTTAGTATGAGAAATCTGATATTTATATTCCTATTAAGGTTGGTCACACCTAAGATTTTATAAAAATTTTTGAACCAATATCTTTTATTTTCTTTTTTTATAATTTGTAATTAAAAAGCGTATGCAGATCTAAATTTTCACCCTTCTACCACAAATCCTTATTACATAATCATCATTTTAGTATTGGAATGATTTCTAAAACGCTTTCAGCCATGAATGTTTAATTTTGATTCGGATTTTCTTCAGCTTATGAAAAAGCTTAAATATTACTCTTTTTTAAAAAATATTAAGAATAGTCTACCCTCAACATTTCTTCTGATTTTTTCTTGAATTATTTTCTTTTATACTGAGTAATTGACTAATATAAATAACACAAAATATTAACTCTCCTTCTAATAATACCTATATTGTAATAAGCATTTCCGTAATTCATTAATTTTTCATTGCGCTTTCAGTCAGTGAAAGTTTTTTTTACTGAAAATGCATTCAGAATTTCTTGAGTTCATTGAATTTTTTTTATTTTAACTTTATTGATTATTTTTTAATTGCCCGTAGGGTAAATATACAAAAACATGGCTGTTTTTGAGAGAACTAAGCTTCCGATTTGAATGATCCAAAAAACCTTTTTGCTTTAGTTCACGGAACGATTGCTTTTTGGGAGAGAATTTTTTTTTTCTTTTTTTGTTTGATATCCAAAAAATATTTTTTGTACTAAATTTTATTCTTCGAATATTTCATTATGGTACGGGAAGTTACATAGTACTACTTTTATTCTATTTTTTTATAGTGCGTAGTTAAAAATCACATATTTTCCTAAATTTTAACACTCCTATCACAAACTTCTATTTTGCTTACAGTAATTTAGTAATTTTTTGCTACTCTAGAAATTTCCTATAGATACTTTACTTGGTAAAACAAAGTCTGCCGGTTCACCTAGTATATATATATATATATATATATATATATATGAGTGTATTATTTAAATTATGTTTAAGTTACTTTACAATGATCGTCCGTCGTAAGAGAGTATATATACTTTTAGCACAAAATTGCAAAAATCACGCAATTGCCGTTTCATTGTTGATAAAACCACAATGTGCTAATAAATAACTATAAAGTATTATACAATTACATGTCACATTGATAGATAAATACAATAAACATTGCGTGTCTGTAAGTAAGAAATGCATTTATCTTAATATTTATTATCTATGTGTAAGTTTATTGGCCTCATAACCATTTACCACGAGGATAATCTCCGATTTTATCATTAGACATTGTTTACAAATAATATGTCTAAAAGTGCGTATATGAAATATTTTTTTGTAAATAGCAATGAAGATTAGATGTTCTGTAAGTTTTGGTGAACGATGGTAAGGTTTTATTTACGTTCAGAAGGAGAAGTTTATGTTTTTGCCAAAAAATCTGATTTGTGTGTGAATATTGTTATTTTTTCATTATTTTTGACCAACAGTCAGTATTTAAGAGTCCTACAAGAGTCCCAACGGGGCTAATTTGACATAATACTACGGTTGCTTCGTACAACCTAAACGGTTGTCTCATCTCTGTGTGAAAATTTGTTTTTATTACAATTTTTGTGATAGGCCTAGAATTCAATAGGATATTCTATTGATGCAGCAATGTCGTATAAGAGCTCTTTTGATTTTGAAACATCTTGCTATATATAGTTCCAAGTGAAAACTGATGCCACTTCTGCTTGACATCAGGCTTTTCGAAGCGCGATGGAACCCAGGACCAATGATTCAGGTCAAGTCGCTTTAACTACTTACCACAAGCAAGCCTTAACATTTAGATTTAAAAAATTTAAAAGACAATAGATGTAACTTAATAAGACTCATTAGTTGTCTTCTTTTTTTGAAAAAAAATGCTGAACCGATTTTGATAGTTTATAAACTATTCGAAATTTATCAATTGGTAGGATATAGGATATAAGTTAGGGTTTGTGCTTATTAATTTTTGATCAATTGTGATATAGCCCAATTAATTATTATTAATTTTTTTTCATTTGGAAGCACATGGCTATCTATATTTTCAAATAAAAACAGATATCACAACTCTTTGATATCAGGGTGTACAAAACGGAGATTTAAACTCAGAACCTGGTTTCAAAACCCTGAGCACTAGATATCTACTCAAATCAAACATCTGGATATTTAACCAAAAACAGATTTTTTTTATACTCAAATCTAAATTTCTCTAGAATCCACTAAAGTCGAAAATATTATAGGACCATCATAAGCAACTTAAAAAATTATAGAACATATACACATTAACTGCTCAATTAAAAACAAAAATTGCCAAAATCATAATAGAGAGAACAAAATATGTCAATATATCTCTGATAACCTGACATCATGCAGTAGTGATATCAATTTTTACTTGAAAATGTAGATTGAAGATAGATTTCCAATTGAAAATAGTACATTTTGGGCACTGTGTTGTAAATTGGCAATGGGAAATTTCTCACACTATTCTCATCTGAATCGAATTGCGAGTTTAATTCAGGTCACAGATCTGCCTGATTTATTTTTATCTAAAAATAAAAAAAACTCATTAGAAAATGAAAAATACTTACTCAATAAGTAATAAATACAGTTTGTTTATAAAAACATTATCTACTTCTAATATATCAAAAGTAACTTCTAGCAATATTAATTAATTGGTAATTGAATTATTTTCATACAAAATATTATATTTATTTTTATGATCTCATAAATAGCCATTTGTAAACGATAACATTGATATTATCATTAATTATTATTATTATTATTATTATTATATTATTATCTTTATTATTTCTAATATTGTTATTTTGTTATATTTATTATTATCTTTCACTTATTGTTTTTATTCGACTTTATTGTTTTTCTAGTATTATTTTCATTATTCAGAAATTTTATTAATTTTACTTATTAATGTTATTATTATTATTATTTGCTTTTATTTTATATTAAATCAACATACTACGGATATCATATTATTGAAAATTCTATTCTTTATTCTGTACTCTTTTTAATAAACTTATATAATTGTTCATTACTGTTACTAAATGTTAATTATTCAGCAGTTGTAACAAATATAGTAATTAAAAATAAATAAATAATTTCCGTAAATAAAATAACAAAAATTCACCGAGTTTTCATTTTGTAATTTGTATTTTACCTCATATCATCATGACGAAGAGAATTATGTGATCAAATATTTATTTTCAGTAATGACATTTGTTATCATTTAAACATTTGAATGAAATTGTGTAAATATTGTAAATCATAAGTGTTGAAAGACAAAAATGTGATTTAAATTGATTAAAAATCTTATACAAAGATTATTTTATAATCCTATCAGTACAAAAAATAATTGGGTCAAGTTTTCATTACACCTAAGTGTACATGTAATGAAAAATGTTTTTTGTATTAATTTGAAATCATTTTTAAAATCACTCCTAAAAATATATATGTATATACATAAGTATTATAAGATAAATTTTATTTACGTGACAATATTTTTAGAAAATTAAATACCGTAGCGTGTACCTTATTAATATGATTAAATTAATTAATTAATCGTTTAATAAACTGATTCTTGTAAATAATGAATATGGAATTAGCAACCTAAGGTCATGTGCAACTTCAGATTTCTAAAAAATCATATTATAGTAATTATTGTTCGAGCCGTCGAAATGTATGTAAATTATATCAAAGTCAGAATCAAGGTTTCTAATTTGTTTGCAGGGAAATTGGTCTCGAATGAAACTAAAGAAATAAAAATTAATATAATTTTTTTATACCAAATATATTTTATATTCCTATATACTTTCATTCGATTTTTTTTTAAATGATGTAATTTAATTTCATTTTTTTATTTCAGGTTAAATTTGGCCATACCCCGTGCAGCTCCAGGCGAAGGCGATAAGGCCTTCACGTACTCCCAATGTGTTCGGTATGATGTCAATTTTACAGAACTTTTGGAAAACGGAACCCTAGATTTGGTTCCGAACCCAAACTGGCCAGTAAGGCCTTGTGACCAGGGATGGGAGTTTGATTTTTCGGAAATACCTTATGCTTCAATAACGGCTGAGGTAAGAAAAAATATTTGATTTTATAATATAGTAATTATTACACCTGTTCTAAAAATAGATAAGAGGTAAAACTGTAGGGATAAAATGGCTATAAGAATACAAAATCTTTTGACCGTTGTCAGAAATTTTGAAAATTGACATACATATGTCAATGTAACATGAAGTTCTATTTCAATCTTGCCCTGGTAGTGTTGTGTCATAGTTCTCTGGCAAGTGGGGTTGGATGATCCTCGAGACGGCTCTTGTAACTTTCTAAAAGAGTTTGTATTTAATCCTTTAGTGTGTATAATTTAGCATCTCTATATATTAACGAATATATAATTTGAAACATTCAAAATTTCTTTAAGGAATTTATTTTAGCATTTGAATTTATTAAGTTTGATTTGGAAGCAGATCCCCATAGTTGTATACCGTATGTCCAAATTGGCTTAAATATATTTTAGTAAAAATATGAAAAAATAACATTAATTTGAGAATTATAGGATAATTACAATGATAATTATTATTAAAGATTGACATACTCTTGGATGATTTTGCTCTCTTATCTGTCAGATACCTTAATATAAATTATGATGGCACTATATATATATATATATATATATATATATATTTTTTTTTTTTGATTTGTAGAATATAAGTCTATAAAAAATAACCTTGCTTTTCACTTAACATAACACATGATTGTCAAAACAAAATGAGTCAGTCAATGAGTGCGATTCTAAATTAATTTACTCGATTTAGTTCCAAAGATAAATTCTATATTTGATACCTACTTTGGTTGGTTGATAGAAGGTTCTTTAGTTTTAACAGTCAGAGTGTTTTATTTTTAAAATTGAGATATTATTATTGATAATTTAAAATATTATGTGAAACCAATAAATGTAATTAAAAATATCATCGTAATAAAATCTTCAAACTTGAAGCGTCACAAAATTCTGGTCCATGTTTCTTACTTCCAAAAACCAAAATCTCAAGATATTTTACTAGTTGCATATTACGAAATATACCGGAACTTAATCAAATTTATTTTCATAATTTGTCAAGATTTCATTGAACTACATAAGGACAAACACCTACTTATATAATTATGAAATTACTTAATAAGCCAGTTAACCTTTACGTGTAGTGACAAATTTGTCTTTACATATTTATAATTTTGATTTAATAGTTATATATATGTATATATATATATATATATATATATATAATACAAAATAAACCGAAATTATTTACAAAGGCATATATAGCAATTATGATAATTAAATTAATGAGATCATTACAGACATGTCAACAACTTCAAGGTATGATAACTAAATAATAATACGAGTACATTATTTCAATGATTTTTTTACTTTTTATAGCATATTTTAATTATGACATGCCTTTGACACATAAAAGCGGAGATCCTTTGTTAAATATTAAAGGACAATTTAAAATATCTATAAAAAAGATAAGAATTCATATTAAAGTTAATACCTAAGATGCTCCCAAAGTATATTGCCTAATATCTTTTATCAATTTTATCAATAATATTATATATCTATAAGCACTAAATTACCTACCATTGAAACAACTTTTTTGCTATAATATTATTTAACATAAGTCTATATCACATTTTATATTTATTTCTATTTATGCTTTTACATATAGACAACCTATGACGAACACAAGAATTATTATTTTTTATTAGATTTTTTAGGAACTAGTAAAAAATAATCTATGCTTATTACCTATTATGTTATAATAGAAATATGATAAAATAATTATCCGATAGTCTTTTGAAAGCAGATCGATCACTCAGCATTTTCCAGTAAACGTAGGCAATTAGAATGGTTTTATTTACGATTTATTTATATGTAATTACATCCGAATGTGTTCTACATTTAACATCAATAACATATTTTCACGTTTTTCATATTAATTTATGCGCGATATAGTTTTATATAATGAGAGTAATTAATTAAATCAATGCGGTACACTTGACACAGATTGGAAAAATATAAAAAATAAAGGATAGGTTATATATGATTCACTGGCAATAGAAAAAAATCTAAGAAATAATATATTTTTTAAGACTAAAAAGGACAAAAAATACAAAAATTTTCAATGTAAATTATATGTATATATCTGTCTATATATAAAATTCTCGTGTCATTGTGTTCATTGCAACTCTCCTACAAAACGACTTGACCGATTTTTATATGATTTTGTAATCACTTTCAGAACGACTGAGAATTGGCCAACATCTATTTTTCATACTCCCATGTGATAAGGCCACCTTTAAGATTTTTTAAAATTTTGTATACCAAATTATTTTACTGTAGTTTTTTATAATTTGCAATTAAAGAACACATAGAGCCCTACATTTTCACCTTCCTATCACAAACCCCTATTTAGGTAATAAACATTTTAGTAATCAAATAATTTCTTATATCGTCTTGAGTCAATGAATGTTTTCTTGGCTTTGATTTTGAATTTTGACTTGATTTTATTTCTAATTTACTCGAGTTTATGGAAGAGTTTGAATTTTCCTTCAAATAATAATTTAATTTTATCAAGAGTTGTCCAACGCTAACATTTTTATTTGAATTTTGGGATCAATTTTCTTTATTTTATTTTTTAGAGTGGAATTAAAAAGTACATGCAACTTTTAATTTTCACCTTCCTACCACAAATCTCCATTACATAATAGTCATCGTCGTTGTTCAATTATTTTTCATGCAGATTATCATTCCGGGACAGCTAGTATATATATACACATATATACACACATTTATTCATATATATATATATATATATATATATATATATATTTATTTATTTATTTATTTATTTATATATATATTTTTCAGATGGAATGGGTTTGCCAAAATGCGGCCCTACCCTCTTTTGCCCAAGCCATTTTTTTCTGTGGTGCCATAGTTGGGGGTCTATTATTCGGATGGGTTGCCGATAGATATGGACGAATTCCGGCCTTGACCGGAACCAATGTTGTTGGATTTTTGGCAGGAATGGGCACTGCCTTTGTGACCAATTTTTGGCAATTTTGTTTGTGCCGATTCCTCATCGGAATGGCATTCGATAATTGTTTCACTATGATGTACATACTTGGTAAGTAGAAAGATTTTTTAGATTAATATATATATATATATATATATAAAATAATTATTTAAATAAAATTTTTTGTGTGATATATAAACATATGAACTTGTCAGAGTACTATATAACTAAATTAAGATATATGGTATGTGGATATATTCATTTTCATTAGTTAACTAGATTGCTTTTTCCACAAAATTGATAATTATTTGAATTTTAAAAATTAATTATTTCCTGAAAGTTTTAAATATAAATTCCATGCAAAAAGTTATTTTTCTTCGAAAAACATATGTCCCAATAACAACAAATTCTAATTATTTCTGTTATCGATACAAATTATCGATAAATGCTTATGTTTACCCATGGCCAAAATGTTTCAATGATTTTATGCAAATAAATAAACATGTTTTAGAGACATTTACGGTGTTGAAATTGTCGTTAAAAATGAAAGTAAATTCCAAATGTAGAAATGAATGAAATTAAAAGTTTCGAATTTATTTATTGCAATTTACATTTTGCAATGTCATTTATTAGAACTCTATATCGCTCGAAAAAATCAGCAAAATCATCAACTACTATATTTACTATATGAAATCAATTTTATTTATGAAATAATAATTCTAATATTTATAAAAAAATTTAGTACTGACTGAATTTGCAATCTTCTGAATGGCCTCTTTTAAAGATTTTTATTATCAATTATTTCTACGTCACTGGACACACCTCCACTTTATGACATCTTTTTAAAAAAATTGTTTACCGTTATTTATTTATGCTTCTATTTCAAAAAAATGTTAATAAAATACAGTAATTATAAATACTCATATGTGGAAACCTGTCGTTATTTATAGATTCTACTACAATTTTTTCCTGTGTTACAATTTATTTGCACTTATGCAAATAATTGTCGTTTTATTACGTGATTTGTTTGTTTATAACGATATCTACATATCACTATATTATTAGAAAAAGTGCTAATAAATAGGTTGTTAATAAAATAATGGGGAGTACTGACAGGTTTGTGAAAATGTATATTTTTTGTGCAAATTCAGGTTTATTTTATTATTATAACAATTAAATTGTGTCAATCAAAAATTCAATTGTCATATAGAAAAGTTTTATAAATATAAATAAACATATCAATTCTTGGCAATGATCATCTAGCTGTTTCTAATCGTGCTGATCAGTATTTAATAGAGATCCATCGAACAGTTTTTTCTTTTTTTTCCAATTGTCTTAAAATATTATACGAATTTGGCAATCGATTTAATCATAAAAAACCAGTGGGGCGCACGGCATCGTGTCTTAAGGCAAATTGCTGGAACTTCCCCTATCAAAAATTATTTTTTCAAAAGATTAACATTTTGAAAAAAATTTACTCTGAAAAATTAGATTTTTGAGAAACTATAAATTTTTGACAAAAATTTACTTTTCTTTGAAAAAAAGACTATTTGAAAAAAATTGTATTTTGAAATATTTTGGAAATTCTGAACGTTTTTTCAAAGCAATCGTACTATTTTAACTGCATAGAGACGAAATATCGAAGCGCGTAAGCGCCGCGCCGCCGTCTAACGGATAAGCATTGGTACGGAACCCATAGGAATGTAAACAAAATTTATACTTATTGTTAAAATCTCTATAAAATATCTAATATGTCTAATGATCATTTTTGACCGCCAGATGGCATTTTTTTTTACTTTTTTTATTAGATCTCCGAAACCGCTAGACTTCATAAAAATTTGATCAGTTCTTCATCTTGTTAATACAAGTAAAATGTTTTTTGAATTATTCAAATCGGACGCTCCGTTCTCTTAAAAACTGGGTTACCGTTTTTGGCAATTTTTGCCCCATATCTTCGGAACGGCTAGACCTGCCTTTGCCAAAAACTAATCAGCACGTCTCCTTATCAATACGAATCGAATGATTTTTGAATTATTCAAATGGCTTTATCCGTGTTTCCGAAATCGTCGACGAAAATTTGTATCCGAACACACATACACATTCGCACACATACACACACACATACACTCACACATACACTTACACATACACTCACACATACACTCACACACGCATACATCCATTTTTTCTAAGGTATGCCAAAATATTCAGAAACCTCTGAAACGTAAAGATATATAAAAATTTTCATTTTCGATTATTTTGCGATTACTATAACTTATCCTACGGGAAGTTAATAATAAATATTAAATACCTACTACTTGGACTTGGTCGTTTTTCCACTGCATTATAATTAATAGATAACAATATAACTATACAAATCCTCTTTATGTGATTTAATCTTAATTCATTTTTTATGTAAAGAAATTATTTATTTATAAATAAATTGTTTTACGTCAATTATTCTACTCATCCTGAATATGCCGATAGAAAAACAACATTTTGTCCTTGTGCTATTTCCGACAAATCTGCTTCGAATGGGATTTTATATCAGAAAATAGTACTTATCAGATTATTATCTTCGGATATAATGGATTACTTGCTAAAGTCGTTTTCAATCAAAGTATCTATTTAATCCCATATAACTATAAGGTGCAACCCACTCACGTTTCTGCGAGTACTGGAATATTAAAATTAACATAATTTTTCATACGTTTTGTTTTGAATTTACATATGAAATTATCGTATTTTTATGGTAAATTATGTGCAAATAGAAGGACATTGCAGACCTATGACAATAGGAAAAACATGACCACTTAGTAATATATAAAAATGTTTTTTTGAAATACCTACTTATGACTAATTATAGGAAAGAATCGTTTTTAATAACAATTTTAAATTATTGTTTAATAATTAATGTTACTTCGATTCTAAGGACTTTATTTGAATTTTTGTTTAGCGTTTTTAGAAAATTCAAATGAGCAAAATATTGTATTGTAGAGATCGTACAAATTTTAATAATGCAGTTAGAATCTAGGAAAGTAAACTAAAAATTAATTATATTTACATATGCTTTTAAGATTTTTGTTTAACATTAGTGTTCAAGAAATATATTGATATTTAGCATCATTCACTATAAAAATAATTTATTAATATGAAATGTTGGATATCAATTTACTTGAATATACCTACAATAAAAAATCATGAAAAATATATTATTATATTAATATATATATATTGGATTTTTAAAATGCATTAATCACTACATAATATACGTTATAGTATAAAACCAAAAATAAAATTTTAGTGGTGCATGACACTTTGCACTTTTTGCCTCGTATCTTCTAAACAACTAGAACTGCCCTTTCAAAAAACTTATTATCACATCTTTGCATGAATAGAATGTTTTTGAATCATTCAAATCGGTTGATGTGTGCTCTCGAAATCGTCGACGAAAATTTGTATCCACACATACATATGTGAATAGAGCACACGCACACACACATACACAACTAATTTTTCTAAAGTATGCCAAAATGTTCAGAAACTTTTGAAACGTAAAGATATGCAAAAATGTTCATTTTATATTTTTTGCAATTACTATAACTTACCCTAGGGAAAGTTAATAAAAAATATAATAGCCTAGAGGAAAAATCTGGTCAAAATTATTTCAAACTTTTAAGGTAATTCAGAAATAGTATTTATTATAACTAAAAAATATTTTAATAATATACAAAATTTTTTACTAAATATGTTTTCTAAATATTTTTTAAAGTGTGTGTTTATTCAAAATTCAAACATTTTATTGATTGTACTATATACCGATGAGAATAATAAACTATATCAAAGTTTGCAATCGAGGACAAAACAATTTTCGCATTCAAGTCCTTTATTTATTTAGTTCTAATATCAAACCAGTTACTATGCAGATTTAATTTAAATGCAACACTATAGACAGTCAATAGTTGCTTTCCGTCGATCTGTAATTACGATTCTTTTCAAGACAAATGTTTTTTTTATAAAAAATTGTTTTTATAGGCTATGATTAACATAATTACATAATTTAAAGTCATACGGAACTGCTATGAACCATCTATCATAAGAATCGAATGTCTTTATAAGATTTATAACTTTGTTTAATCGTAATGTGTGCGAACATTCACTTTTTTATAAAGGATAATAATTCAAATGCTTTACTAGCATTAATTATATACAATTAGATTGCTCAGAAGTATTATATATTATATATATATATATATATATATATATATATTATTAATATTTCTAGAAAATTTTTAGACTTCAAATTTAGTCAAAAAATTTTTTTGATTAAAATTTAGTAAAAAACGTTCACAAATAAGCGATAATTGATCAATGATTGAGTTAGATAATAAATTTATTGAATTTAAAGTTATTTGAATTTAGACTATTAGGTGACTATTATGAAGTAGAGATTTGTGATAGGAAGAACAAAATAAAGTAAAAGTGCCATTATCACAATATCTGTATAGGTATATATTTATATAAAAAAATACTTTTAAAATTACTCAAAACTTGAAAAATTAGTAGAAATATAAATATAAATTCTCTATTTTAATTTACATCAGTTATTCAATGACTAGGTTAGTTAGTGCACAGTTTTTCTGATATTTCATAATTCTGAATGTTTGTGTCATGCTATTAATAATTTATTTAGTTTTAGTTAATTATACCATGTACCTATGAACATTAAAAACCTTTACTATTTTTTATTGATCAGTTAAACTTGATATGTATATATATGCATATATATATATATATGCCTATATATATATATATATATATATATATATATATATAGGTGTGTATCTCCAGTTATAAAAACTTGTGCCATTTATCCACTATTGCATATGCTAATGATAAGTTTTACTAACCCACAAATAACAAATCATTTATGCATTATTCCGCATTTTAGTTATTCAAGTCCCAAGATCAATAACCGACTTGAATAATATCACTTTCAAATAAACAGAAAAAAATCTAATGAAATCATTCATCTAATTCTTTTTATTTTCGCTCGTGGCGGCAATTACAAAATAAATTCACACTTGTGATTTGATCAACTTCCTTGATTT